TGTACTACAAAGTCGCCAGTTCTCATCTTCCAGCTCCCCAGATACTCCGCGCGCTAAAGTTGTACTAGAAAGTCGCCAGTTCTCGTCTTCCAGCTCGCCAGATACTCCGCGTACTCAAGTTGCACTACAAAGTCGTCAGTTCTCATCTTCCAGCTCCGCACATACTCCGCGTACTAAAGTTGTACTAGAAAGCCGCCAGTTCTCATCTTCCAGCTCGCCAGTCAGATACTCCGCGCACTCAAGTTCTACTACAAAGTCGTCAGTTCTCATCTTCCAGCTCCGCGCGTACTCCGCGTACAAAAGTTGCACTACAAAGTCGCCAGTTCTCAGCTTCCAGCTCCACAGATGCTGCGCCTGCCACGAAATCTGCACATGGAAGTTCACAAAGCGCTGTGCCTGCCACGGAATCTGCGCATGGAGGTTTACAAATTAAAGTACTGCGCCTGCCACGAAATCTGCACATGGAGGTTCACAAAGTGCTGCGCCTGCCACGAAATCTGCACATCGAGGCTCACAAAGTGCTGTGCCTGCTACGAAATCTGCGCATGGAGGTTCACAAAGTGCTGCGCCTGCCACGAAATCTGCACATGGAGGTTCACAAAGCGCTGTGCCTGCCACGAAATCTGCGCATGGAGGTTCACAAAGTGCTGCGCCTGCGACGAAATCTGCGCGTGGAGGTTCACAAAGCGCTGCGCCTGCCACGAAATCTGCGAATGAGGGTTCGCAAAGTGCCGTGCCTGCCACGAAATCTGCACATGGAGGTTCACTCAGCGCTGTCCCTCCCACGAAATCTGCACATGGAGGTTCACAAAGCGGTGTGCTTGCCACGAAATCTGCGCATCGAGGTTCACAAAGTGCTGTACCTGCCATGAAATCTGCGCATGGAGGGTGCCTGCCACGACATCTGCACTTCAAGAAACAAGTGAAGACTCTAATTCTAATCACAATGGAGGGACGATTCCGCCCATGATCCGAGAATGATCCGACCATGACCCGAGACCGTCTCGCACACATCGTTCCGCAAAGCTTGACTGGCCAGCAGCCACCCATTCTATTGAAAAACGTGGCATTTCGTTCGTCCGCTATCTCTCCAAAAACGTATTTTGTATTGCGCCCGCCACGAAACCTGCACCTCAAGCTTCACAAAGCGCTGTGCCTGCCACGAAATCTGCGCATGGAGGTTCGCAAAGCGCTGCGCCTGCCACGAAATCTGCACATGGACGTTCACACAGCGCTGCGCCTGCCACGAAATCTGCGCATGGAGGTTCACAAAGTGCTGCGCCTGCCACGAAATCTGCGCATCGAGGTTCACAAAGTGGTGCGCCTACCGCGAAATCTGCGCGCGCAAAGTGCTGCACCTGCCACGAAATCTGCGCGTGGAGGTTCACAAATTCTGCGCCTGCCACGACATCTGCGCTTCAAGAAATAAGTGAAAACTTTAATCGCAATGGAGGGACGATTCCGCCCATGATCCGAGAATGATCCGACCATGACCCGAGACCGTCTCGCGCGCATCGTTCCGCAAAGCTCGACTGGCCAGCATCGGAGCCACCCTTTCTATTGAAAAACGCAGCATTTCGTGCGGCCGCTATCTCTCGAAAATGTATTTTGTATTGCCCTGCCACGAAATCTGCACCTCAAGCTTCACAAAGTGATGTGCCTGCCACGAAATCTGCACATGGAGCTTCACAAAGTGCTGCGCCTGCCACGAAATCTGCACATGGAGGTTCGCAAAGTGCTGTGCCTGCCACGAAATCTGCGCATGGAGGTTCACAAAGCGCTGTGCCTGCCACGAAATCTGCGCATGGAGGTTCACAAAGTGCTGCGCCTGCCACGAAATCTGCACAGGGAGGTTCACAAAGCGCTGCGCCTGCTACGAAATCTGCGAATGAGGGTTCGCAAAGTGCCGTGCCTGCCACGAAATCTGCGCATGATGCTAACTGGAGCTAGAGCTAACTGGATGATGAGTGGTGTATGATGAGTGGTGTCTGATGAGTGGTGTATGATGAGTGGTGTATTGATGAGTGGTGTATTGATGAGTGGTGTCTGATGAGTGGTGTATGATGAGTGGTGCATGATGAGTGGTGCATGATGAGTGGTGCATGATGAGTGGTGCATTATGAGTGGTGTATGATGAGTGGTGTATGATGAGTGGTGTATGATGAGTGGTGTCTGATGAGTGGTGTCTGATGAGTGGTGTATGATGAGTGGTGTATGATGAGTGGTGTATGATGAGTGGTGTATGATGAGTGGTGTCTGATGAGTGGTGTATGATGAGTGGTGTCTTGATGAGTGGTGTATTGATGAGTGGTGTATTGATGAGTGGTGTATGATGAGTGGTGTATTGATGAGTGGTGTATGATCAGTGGTGTATGATGAGTGGTGTATGAACAGTTCTTGAATGTCCGTAACACGGAAGTTTCGTTCACCAAATTTCCTGTGATTAAAGGGTAGTTGATTAATCGACGGCGGACATTATGCCTTTTCACTCAAACGTACATGTGTCTTCACAAGGACGACGTGCTTGATAGCTGTGTCGCGCCGATTTGAGGCCCTTGCAGCTTCAACTGACCGGGACTGATGACCAAGAGTGAGTCATGTCTTGTCAAAAATTTTTAGCGACACTGTGAAGGAAAATTAAATGCCCCGGGCATAGTGGCGAATTTGGCACACGCCACAAGTGTTATCATGGAACATTGTGTTTCTGGGTTCTTGTTGGGTAGGGTATGTACAATGCTGGTTGTAAGGGGTCAGCGGGGTCAGCTGATCAAAGTGTGTTTGGCGTTGGGCAGGAGATGAAGGAGAAGTGGGCAGATTCTTGGCAAGTTGCGGAGACAACTTATGCAGGACCCTTGACGCCAATGACATGAGAAGTTCGCGCATTGGAAGGAGATTCTTAGTTCTAACGCTGGAAGTGCCGAAGACACCTAATCACACCCAGTGGTGCTTTGGCCCAACCTGCGACTTTCTCACAACCTTCATTGAATGGCTACCCGCTACCCCAACCCGACCCCTTGAAAGGTTTTGGCTGAGTGTATTTTCTGTCATGCCCATGCTACCTCCTTGATGCCTTGAGCTACTGTTATTATTTGTTGATTTTGTTGTTGGTATTGGATTGTGTTCAACACAAACCCCGCAAAGTCAAAGCTTTGGATGCTGCAAATCGGCCCAAAACAACACAAAGGAGAGACAAACAAACCGAAGAAAAGCTGCTCTCGCACATCAGAGTTTACAAACAACATCGAACAAGTCATGGGTCGCTGTATTTGTTTGATGTGTTTTTCTTGGTGTTGGTGTTCATGGTGGGGCTAGGGCCTAAGGGTCTGAGTGGTTGCTAGTTCAGCGTTTGCAGGATACATTCTCGGCCTGACTTTGTCAATGTGGACGAGATTTGCAACCTCTGGGCAAACGCCTCAAAATTGGAAGTGCCATTTGGTTCTTGGCAGTGTTGAGCTCTTCCAGGATCCCGACAGGTGCCTATGGTCAACCACCAGGCTGCCTGATTTCCAGCGAAATTAGCTAAAAATGACGAGTTTCCGAGCAGGACAGACTGGAGCGCATTCTGGTTTGCTTGCTTTGTGGACGGGCACTGCAGTTCTGGTTGGTTTTGTTGGGAGCTCAGAAGAAAGGCTTAACAAGCTTGGGGCCTAAAGACCTCATTGGTTTACTGAAGCCAAGATATGCTAAGATTGTTATTGGTTTGGTCCACCGACTTGGAGCTCCTGAAAGGACGGGGTGGGTAATGGTTGTAATGTTTAGGAGCATCCCGAGTGAATGACTAGTAGCTTCTTGTTACTACTAGTAAGGCACTTGTTACTAGTAGCGATGCACTTGTTACTAGTAGCTTCTTGTTATGCGAGATAGCGGATTTCAGATACCCCCCCACAAGCCTGGAATGTAGCAGGCGAAGCGGCAGTTCACACTGAGCATGCCGTTCTAGCTTGTCCAGAAGCTGTTTGATTGATTACTTTTACAAATTAAGCCAGGGCATTCCTCGCAGTATCACTTGTTGTTTTGGCAGGAGCTGGACCAGTCGCCGTTTCTCCCAAATGACAACATCAATCATGTTGGAACCCAAGAACAGCCCTACCTTTTGATGGTTGCTTGAATATCGCTTGTGGCTTTCTGTGCCAGGGCAATGTTTTGTGCTTGGATGTCACTTTACACCTTGGAGTGGGAGTTTCTGTACTATACCAATGCCAGCGGATTTGGTGGACAGGCTTTGCATGCATTGATCAATGCATTCACCTGTTTCAAGCCCATTGTTGAAGTTCAACACTAAGTAAGCCGTGGTTCGGGTGCAGTTTTGTGGCAGGCAGCTGATATCAACGCCAGCATTCTACTGGCAATTTGCTCTTCCGTGGTGAACTTAGTTTTTTTCAGTTTCAATGACATTCAACGAGATTACACACTTATATGATATGTTTCTTGAAAAGTTGGGTGTTTGGTCAAGTGTTCAGAAATTCTGATAGTGTGATAAAGACTTCTACAAGTCTTCCACAATTATTGCCCACTAATTTTATCAACCACGTGGTATGATTGTAACGGTCTCCAATCAAGTCCAGTTTGTTTGTATTATATATTTGTCTCCGTGAGTCTCAGTCCAGTGATGTGCCTCAGCTTCCTGCTGTCTCTCCCAGTGTTAGGGTCGTACAAGTAACAGGTGCATCGCTACTAGTAGCGTCCTTGCTACTAGTAGTAATGCTCTTCTTATTAGTGGCGAGTGCCAAGGTCTTTATGTTTGCAATCATGCGGATTATTGACTTCATTGCTGACCGGACAGGTGCATGGTGAGCACTCTTATGCTTCTATTTCTGCAAACACCTTTATGTAACAAGAAGTGTGTGTTATGATATGCCACCGCTTACCAAGGAGGGCAAAAAAACTATTTCATCATTTTTGATTGACTCATTCCAATTTGCTTTCGGCTGACCAGCGACAACTGCGAAGGCAGTCCATCGGTGCGATCAACAGCTATCTTCTGCGAGCTGTTCATAGGGCTGACTTGGCAGCGGGTCTTCTACATGGCAATCCGGTTCCCTGGTGCAGATGCAAATGCAAATGGGTGCTGGCATTGATTTGTGGGCGTTGATCAACTTAAGGTTGTCTGGACGCCAGTACAAGCAAGCAGAGCGAGTGATCGATGTTGTGTGCATGTGGTCGTTGGCAGCCACTTGCCCACATTCGTTAACCAGAAAATGAAACTACTCTGTTTGCATGCCATGTCCGCATTGTGCGGTGAAGGCCATATGTAGTCCGGCATGGTCTTTCTACATCCTTCCGTTCTTCCTGAAAGCCAAAGAGGAGGCTGATAAGAAGAGACAGCTGCAACGACGCATTTTAGTAGCTTCTTGTTGCTAGTAGTAAGGCCAGAAACTACTAGTAGTGTCCTTGCTCCTAGTAGCGATGCCAGGAGACCCCTAGTAGCGTCCTTGTTCCTAGTACCGATGCCAGGAAGAGCAAGAAATCAAAAGTGGAGCCAAAGCATCGTCGGAGGGGAAGGCTGTGTTTCTCACTCCTGCTCATGAAGAGCTGTTGGCTGAAGAATCACGGTCTTATATTTGTGCTGGTACTTCCCAAACGCATGAGGAGTCACAACTGGCAGACTCTGGTACTCCGAGCAAAAAAAATGATGTGCACACCTTAATTGCCCCAGTTTTGAGCCTTAGTCCATCGACCCAGTTTATTGAAATCCAGGAGCAGCGTCAAGTTGAAATGAGATTGAGGCCACTCCAGCTCCAGCAAGCGAGAAGCCTAAAGACGACGACGAAGAGTTCTGAGAGTGTTCAGTTCGGCTCGGAAGGATGCAAGAACCTTTTGGTGGAGATGAGTTGTCCTCGGGGGACAATGGACAATAACTCCAGTGGCAAAGTCAAACGTTCGCTATCGTTTGCTGGTTGCGAGAGAACAAAAAGAGACTGAGAGCTGCAGTTCTTTGGGGGTGCAGCATGAAAGCTTTGCACCTTTACAAGTACCTGCGTTTGTACAATAGAATACTGGCACCTGACACCTTGACATGCCTTTCTTTGTAGCTGCACACTCTAGCATCCAATCAAGCGCATCCCTTGCTTGGCACGAGCTTCAAATGCCATACACAACAGCATACTTCTGGAGCAAGGCTAGGTCCTAGGTCCTAGGTGCTTTCTGCAAACAACAGCTTGTTGTCGACTTGTTTGTCTTCGAACACGACATAACAAAATTTTACGAGGCGACAAATCCTTTCTGGGGAGTAGCAAGTTCCAGCCGGTCCACACTGCGGACTGCGTTCGCCAAACACCAAGCACGCAGCAAGCAAAATTTGCTTCACGCCTATCCCCCGCATGTGCAAACAAGCTACAACTGCAAGCACAAACGGGACCAGGGCATGTATTTTTGGGTCGCGCATCGGTTCAAAAAAGAGCAAAAAAAATGGCTCATGTATGTGCAACACGAAGCCAAGCAGGCATGTATGCATTTTCCTAAACAGTGTGTCCACACTGAGCGTAAAAGCCCGGTTTCGATCAGGGTACGCTCTGGGCCCGTGCGTTTTGGCAGCGCAGGCTCGCAGAAAAGTTTCGTTCTGAGATCTCCAAGCACGAAGCGCTGGCCGCGGGACGGTGCTTGATGGAGGTGCGCTCTCATTGTGGTGCCATGCACATTTTTTGTCTACCTATTAAAACATGGCCCCCCTCCCCCTATTAAGAGAAACTCGGTCGCACTTTTTTTGATAGGGGGTCCCTGAAATCGGGGGGGGAAAATAGGTTCACCTGGGAAGAGCTTCAAAAGCAAAAAGTCATCCAGAAAGATTTTATTTAAAATCCTTATTAAACTCGTATCAATTACACCAGCATAGACCCAGATAGCTAGGCAGAATCCCACGACCTGTTGACATGCGACTGGCTGCAACAAGAATGTACGCAGCCTGCGCAGCCAGCTTACGACACCTCGCACTACTAGTATTTGCTGACACCAGCACCCGACCAGCGCCGCCGCCCGTCTTAAACGCGCGCTCAGCCAGCTCACAGCCAGCACCCAGGACCACAACACCAGCACCGACACCCTTTGAAAGCGCGCGCAGCCAGCTCATTCTTATTTGCAGCAGTTTCCCATAGCTATCCCTACTTGGGGAATAACAACGTATGATCTTGCGCGTATAAGTTTATGCGCACAAAAGTACGCGCGCAAACAGCAAAGCCCGTAATTAAGTGTCATTGGCCCAAGGCCAGGCAGTATCCAGCGCCACTATTGACTTTGTAGCATGCTTGAAGCAACGATCTGCTCTTGCGCGTAGAAGTTTATGCGCGCAAAAGCATGCGCGCAATCGGCAAAGCCCGTAGGCTTCACTCGCCCAAGGCCAAGCAGTATCCAGCACGACTAGTGTGTGTGTGTGTGTATGTAGCATGCTGAAACATGCTGGTACAATGGTCGGTCGAGAGCCTGACGCATAGAACATTATACGTACAAAAGTATGCGCGCAAACAGTACAGCCCTTGACACAGCTGTCAGCCAAAACAGAACCTGAAGGGTGTAAATACCCCACAGCGCTAATAGACAAAGAACGCTCAAGCGACAACACCGTATGATGTTGCGTGCATAAGTTCATGTTGCCCATGACTGCTTGCACTTCATTGTTTGGTCGCACTGCTGCAAGCGGCGGTTTGTTACCCTTCACTGTCAGAAGCGGCGGTTGTTATCACTTCACTGTCAGAAGCGGGCGCCAGCGCCGAGTACCGGCGCACCAGCTTACGGCGCCCAGCACCAGCGCACCAAGCACCAGCGCCCGGCACCCTGTCTCCACCACGCGCGCAGCCAGCGCCCAGCACCGGCGCCCAGTCTCCACCGCGCACACTGCCAGCTCACAGCACCGGCGCCGGCGCCCGCTGTCTCTACCATGCGCACTGCCAGCGCCCAGCACCGGCACCGTGTCTCCACCACGGCACCGGCGCCCAGCACCAGCGCCCTGTTTCCAACGCCCACCAGCACCGGCGACCTGTCTCGAAAGCGCGCGCAGGCAGCTCATTGTTATTTGAAGCAAGAACCGCCCGACACCAGCACCAGCAACCTGTCTCCACCACGTGCACAACACCAGCGCCGGCACCAGAACCAGCACCGGCACCCGGCACCAGCGCCAGCCTCACAGCACCTGGCACCAGCACCAGCAACCTGTCTCCGCCACGTGCGCAGCCAGCTCACAGCACCAGCACCGGCGCCCGGCGCCAGCACCAGCAACCTGTCTCCACCACGTGCGCAGCCAGCTCACAGCACCGGCACCAGCACCGGCGCACCAGCACCGGCACCAGCAACCTGTCTCCACCACGTGCACCAGCACCAGCACCGGCACCCGCCCGGCACTAGCAACCTGTCTCCACCACGTGCACACCCAGCTCACAGCACCAGCACCGGCACCTGGCGCCCAGCACCAGCACCTGGCACCAGCGCCAGCAACCTGTCTCCACCACGCGCACAGCCAACTCACAGCACCAGCACCAGCACCTGCGCCCGGCACCAGCACCAGCAACCTGTCTCCACCACGTGCACAGCCAGCTCACAGAACCAGCACCAGCACCGGCGCCAGCGCCCGGCACCCAGCACCAGCACCGGCACCAGCAACCTGTCTCCACCACGTGCGCAGCCAGCTCACAGCACCAGCACCAGCACCGGCGCCCAGCACCAGCAACCTTTCTCGAAAGCGCGCACGGGCAACTCACTATTATTTGAAGTAAGAACCCCATAGCTTCGCTATCTGGGGAAAAATCCAATAAACCTCCAGATCGAAGTCTTCCTTTTCCCTACAAAAACCTTTATTAGAATACTGATTCTTCATTAGACTAACAACCAAAGCTTTCGAAAGGTGATGTCGCTGTGCCGTGCAGTTTTGCACGGCCTCGGTGGCAAGTGCGTTTGCGTGAGTCCGTGCCATTGGAGGAAGGAAAACTTGCTGATGTAAACGCGGCGTGTCACGGTGGATACACAGGGCGGACAGATGTGGGCAGTGACGGTTGTTTTTAAACCCCAATAAAAGAAACTACCACCAAAATCGACCATGTTGGTAGTTTAGTAGCTTGAAAGGGCGGTAGTTGCTATAGTTTAAAAACGACAAATATAGGCCGAATTTAGGGCTTCGGATGTTGTTTCTTAAATTGGGGATGCTTTTTTAATGCGTACTCGGTCGGGATTATTGATGATCACTTTTCGTGGCAGGCGCAGGGAAACTTCGTGCTTTGGTGGTCTAAAGTCGACTTTTCGTGACGACCTCCAGAATATCCAACCTAATAGCCATGGGCCCAAGCCTGAGGGCAATGGTCTCCAGCCTATATACCAACGGCCTCCAGCCTAATAGCAATGGCCTCCAGCCTAATAGCAATGTCTTCCAGCTTAATAGCAACTGGCCTCCAGCCTAGTAGCAGGGGTCATTTTGGAGGCTTTCATCAACGCTGTCTACAAAATGACGTCGCGCGCCTCATTTTGTCGACAAATCAAAAATCTAATTCTCTACAAAATGACGTCGATGCCATCATTTTATAGAGACGCTGTGCCCTGAATTGAGGGGTCAATTGTAGAGCGAAGAAGTGCCAAGAAATGGGTCAATGTGACCCTTGAAAAGTGGTGCGTGGGGTGGTGCGCAGGGGGGCGTCTTCGTTCAACCTGCGCACCTTGAAAAACACATTTTTGTATGTTCTTGCAGCACTTGGACTGTTTTTAACATGTGGTTGTTGTGAAAATTCACTGCGAAATCCCGTTCCACCACACACTTTGCGCACTCCAAGCGTCAAACAGGTTTGTGAGGTGCTGTCATGAGTTTCGTTGGGAATCGATGTGGCCAGTGCCAAATCTGTGTTTCATCACGTGCTCTCATCTATCTAAGAAATATTTATGCTATAACAGTTGTAATGTATATGTTGAAAGGGTCACAGCAGTTTCATCTATTTGACACGGCCTGTGTACCGAAGTGAACTTCAGCTGACCAGCTGATCAGCGAGCGCGCGCCAAATCTTGAACGATGCTTGGAGTCACTCCGAGCACCGCTGCGCAAGTGGGCGCACATTCGTGCGCCTTGTGCGCGTGAGCGCGTTCCGCGCCCGTTCTGCGAGGGTTTTGCGCCTGTTCCGCGGGGGTTCCGCATGGGTTCCGCGCCTGTTCTGTGGGGGTTCCGCGTGGGTTCCGCGCCTGTTCTGTGGGTGTTCCGCGCAATGCTCCGCGGTGGCCTCCGCGCCACGGAGCCCCCATGGAACCCCCCGTGGAAAAGCCCCGCAAAACCCTCGCGGAACATCCGCAGAACACGCGCGGAATAGGTGCGGAGCAGAAAAACATAAAGAAAATCGGTTCGGGTGTTCTGCGGGGGCTCCGCAGAGGTTGCGCCTCTGCTTCAGCCAGCGCGTGCGCCCGCGGAACCTCCACGGAACACGCGCGGAGCAGAAAAATGGTTTCTGCGGGGGTTCCGCGCAGGTTCTGCGGAGGTTCCGCGAAGGTTCCGCGGGACTTCCGCAGAGGTTCCGCGCCTCTTCAGGGTTCTGTGGGCGTTCTGCGGGGGTTCGGCGGAGGTTCCACACGGGTTCCGCGGAGGTTCCGCGGGGGGGGGGGGGGGTTCGCGGAGATTCCGCGGAGGTTCCGCGGAGGTTGCGCGCGGGGGTTCCGCAGGGGTTCCGCGCCTGTTCTGCTCGAAGTGGGCACACAAGAGGTCCAACTCGTTGAAGAACAGGGGCTCAAGTGGGCGCAAAAGGAATTTGAACCCTCAGAACTTTTTGAAGAAGAGGAAAGAAGTCACGACTTGGAGTGGGTTCACCGCTGCAAAACACACTTACAAAATGGTGTTCGGAGTGGTGCTCGGGGTGGTGCTCGGAGTGTGCTCGGAGTGGTGCTCGGGGTTGCGCACAACGTGGTGCTCGACCCACTCCGAGCACCAGCCCGTGCACGACTCCGAGCACCTTAAACACCAGTGCCCGCACACCACAAACCCAGGCAGTCTTAACGCTTATATGCCCACATCAACATATATGACATATATAGGAAAACACAGTGAAGGGGTGTTTGTGTGTCCTGCTGTTTGCCTGTTCGGTGATTCAGATCCAGAACGGTTGTGCTTGTTTGGGTAGGAAGCGCTGTTTTCAAAGTGAATATCTCATTGCAGGGTGCACTGCTGTAAACTTCTAAAGCGGGTGCTGGTGAGTGTTTGCATTCTGTACACATACATGCATATTTGTTCAACGTTATGTTGTTGCTTGGCCATTTTTATGTTGCAGCCAGCTGCATTCCTCATCCCTGGAACCTATCTCACAACATTTTGAAGTGCATTCAACCCACGTTTTTCGATTGTCATCGACCAAAATCAATGACATCCAACACGGGTGTTCGGGAAGCCTCTACAAGCAACACCTTTTTCTTCAATGATCACACTCCAAAAGGTGCATGGTGGCAATTGTGGTCGGAGGAATTTTGACATGTCCTGTGTGTGTTTCGTCCCTTTTTGCCTTCTTGACCGTCGTCACCCCACAGATTTTGTTTCGATGTAAAGGTTTGCCTATGTTTGCCTCCTACATTATTTACATTGTAATGACACTCAGCCCCCCACAACCTACAGCCTTCCAAACATCACCGTAGCATGTACTTCTCAATCAAATTTGGTGCCAGCCCAAAACATTGGCAGGTTCAGGTTGTTCTCGGCCCAAGCCAGCAATCATTACACCAAAAGGTCGTGACATTAGCAAAGGTGATTGGGGCAAAGGGTTCCAGACGGAGTTAGCAGCCCTCCCAGTTCAATATGTTTAACATTGTGTGAATTTTGTTTGGCACAGCCGCAAGTTTGCTGACCAATCTCCCTGATTTCGCATTTTTTACAGTGCACGAGTCTAATGTTTCCGATGATTGGATTTAGGATGATTGAAGGATATGTGTCCTACTGGTATGCACGTTGTCAAGTCCAAGGGAGGAACTGTTTGTTGCAGTTGCCGAACGGCATGCACTAAAACACATTCAAGAGTAGGTGCACTTTGTTGGAGGTTTGGACTTGACGAGAACCCATAATCCTCACCGCATGACAAAAGAGTTTTTCTGGGTATGTATGGGCGTTAAACCGTTCCTTTCAACTTGCTATATATACATACCGATTCTGTCGGATGCTCGTTTGTGCCGCTGCACAGATTTTTCCAGCTTGCTACGGAGGTAGCTGTGAAGAATGCATCGCATCAAACTGTACCATGGAGGTAACTTTTCTTCTATGAATTCAGTCAAAGATGGTGGTCAAGAGTCAAAACACCAAAACTCGAGCAAGTTTCACAGAGTGAAACCACTGACAGTTTCAGACAGTGGTTTCTGTGGTTTCTCAAGCTTGCGGGTGAGCGCCATGAGGATTTTGACACGTGAAGCCCACCGTGAGGTAACACGGCCTCATGCACGGTCACTCATGGTCATCGCTTCACTTTTGGTGGCTGTTAGGATGGCTTGGCTTGGAGTGGCAACTGCTTCAACTGCTTCCCTTAACTTCGCTCATCCTCAACTCCAGAACCAAACGAAAGAAATTAAAGGAGGACAGATTGGACAGGACCAAGTAGAAGACTTTGCCGATACAGATCGGCCCATGTGGATGGTCCGAGCTGAACTCCGAATGAGGCAGTTTCAAAGACGGCGCCTCATCAGAATATTAAATCAGTTTGCGGAGATGCGCAAGCACCAAAGATTGGTCAAGGAGCTTGGAAGCCAAGGGCCAGATGGCTCGCATTTGGCAAACCAATCTGTTGAAACACTTGATGCTGTTGCTGCCCCACCTGAGCTTGCACAGTTGCTGGCAGTTGAAGATCGCATCCGCAGATTGCGGCATTTGAGACGGATCCTTGTAGCAAAAGAAGCTGCAGCAAGAAGTGAGCAGAAGCTTCAGGCGGTGAGGAGTCCAAAAAGAACCATTCTGAGACTTTGCGGCACTTCGCTGGGAGTGTGCTTGGTGGCAAAGAGTGGCTGGCGAATATCGCAAGCTGTCCGAACCACTGCAGGGCCTTGGGATGATATGGGTACCTGGCTGAAAGGCCTTGGAAAATGCTACGCAGATGTTCAGGAAGGAGTTCAACCTTGGCTTGGATCCTTCCAACCTTTTATTGATTATTTTTGGCAGGCCAGCTCGCGGATGCGTTTGTGGTGTTTGAAGAAGTGTCGTGTTTTCTCTTGTCAGAGGCATGGATTTGGCGCGGCTTTCAACGGCGAATGATGGCCTCCAAAGCCAGAGACCTCAGAGAAGCTAGCGAAATCCGTGTTCCAGATGTGGCCTTGGAGGACAAACAGAGACTTGGGCCGGACTTGGGAGTCCTTTGGTAGTTACTTCTCAGACTGCTGGCTTTTCGAACAGCTTCCACTGCATGTGGCACAGGGCTGGGAAATGGATTTATTGCCTGGCAGTAATTCATTTCCCAGTCAGTTTGCAGCGGCCTGTGCCCATTTATCACAGAGAGCCTATAGCCTACATCAGCTAGGCTATATTATATATATATCACAGTTCTCGTCACGTTGTTTGCAATTTGTTTCTCTGAATTGCTGGCTTTTCCAGGACGTTGCCGGAATCGGCGCGGCAAAAACAGAAGCGCTCGAGATCGTGGAATGCTTGATGGCTCCTGCAAGGCTGAAGAAAGATGGGTTTGACCCTTTGTCGAGGAGCACATGAATGAATTGTCTTTAATTTGTTTGGGTGATAAGGCGTTTTTGGAGCCCAGAAGAGCTTTGAGTGTTCATGGGGTGGTTGATCACATCATCAACGATGCAATCAAACGACCATGAAGTCTTTGGTTCACTTCAACCTAATGACTTGCCATAAATCAAGATATATATATATATATGTACTGTTTTTGAAGCACTGCAGGGGTACTACCAGCCCTGCCCGTGTTGCCCTATTGCTTGATATGAGTTGATATGTAAATATGTAAATGATACATATATATGTTGTATTTGCAGTGATTGTTTGCTGCTGTCAGGTTTGCAAGTTTGGGCGCACGCTGTCCCAAAGGCTTGCTCCTCACAGGCCCTCCTGGCTGCGGCAAGACGTGCTCCTGACAGGTTTAAGACACAAGAAGTAAATAATCAAATTCTAGTTCTAATTCTTGTTTCTATTAGCTTCTTGCTCCTAGTAGCGATGCCAGGAGCCCCTAGTAGCATCCTTGTAGTTGCATACTGCAGACAAGCAACATCAAGCAACCCTGGAATCTAGAAGCCCGGAACTTTAGGTCAGTTGTAACCCGAGCTGGGTGATGGACTCGCAGGAAGTGCAATGGTCTCTAGGTATCTCTAGATAATGCCGGTGCAGTACGGTCAAGTTGTGATGCCAAGGCAAGGATCAGTTTAAGGTTCCCAGGTGCGGTGCAGAACTTGTGCAAACATTACACTCGTCGATAACAAGATAAAAGATGATTGGAGGCCATCGCTACTAGGTTGGAGGCCATCGCCTTAAAGGTCCTTTTGCATTATGAAGAGAACAGCATATCACAACTCAAACAATGTGTCAATCTCCGTGAGGGGCTGCTTGTTGTTGTCGCCTGGTCAAGTTGAGACACTGGTGTTTCTGCGTGACTGGGAGAAGAGTCATTATCAGGAGAAGGCATGCAGAGGAGGCAGCCTCTTAAGCTTTAAGAAGTTGAAACAAGTTCCAGTGGAGCACAAGTTGAGCATGTCCAAGTTGGTCATGATCGTATAGGTCCATTGGAGCATCATCATTGCACCCACTGCCAGCAACCAGCATTCACACAACAGACTTATGCCGGCATGTCTTCACCCTCAAGCACCACTACCACCAGCATCGTCGTCATGTGCAGTGCTTCACGGACGTCAAGTAAAATTACGATATAGGTATGCAATGCCCAAGTGCCAATGCAAGCACATTGGTTCAAATTCTGGCCTGTTTGGGCTCTGTCCCGAACATGTCAACCTACAAAAGCGCAGACAAACGACACTATGTAGAGTAGATGTATATTACAATACTACGAGGCTGAACCTTGTAATCCCCTTGAAGGAGTTCGGCAGGGTGTTTTGACATCTTCAAAATCATTTTTGCACTTTGCGTTGCTTGAATCTTGGATGGGCCAGGCTTTTGGCAAAGGCTATAGCATCAACAGCCGCAGTGCCCTTTCTGTCCAAGTCAGGCCCACTTCCTACAAACTTTGTTCATATTGGTTGTCTTCATATTATATATTCAGCTTCGGCTGGATTTGAACACTACCGCTACAACTTGGAACTCCTTTTTTCTTGTGGTTCTTTGTTCTCCACCTGTCAGGTGAGGGTTGTTAGATTTTATGTCAGCCCCATCTCCTTCCTTCTCCTTCTTCTCCTCCTCCTCGTCCTCCTCCGCCGGACCTCAACCACGACCATCCACGTCCAGTGTTCCCTGCCGGACCTCAACCACGACCATCCACGCCCAGAGTTCCCTGCCGGACCTCAACCACGACCATCCACGCCCAGAGTTCCCTGCCGGACCTCAACCACGACCATCCACGCCCAGTGTTCCCTGCCAGACCTCAACCACGACCATCCGCGCCCAGTGTTCCCCGCCGGACCTCA